CTGCAGTGGTGCATTGGTTACCGAGCCGGTGTAGCGCGGTTGGGAATAGTTAAGTAGAAAAGGAGATACAATCTGATTCTGGTTATTTGATGCCTCCTAAGATAGGGAACCTTTTTATGTCATGGTTAGCTGATTATTATTGTTTCTGTTTTAAGGAATGTTATTTTTTTATGTTTGTTAATAAATGGCCAATATGGCCAATTTTCTCCATGTTGGTGTTGGGCTCCTTATTTGAGTAAAGTAAGTTGTGGAATATGCCATAGGCACCTTGGTGGTATGGACTGGTGTACATCTGTTGTACCCTAGTCATGTGGTCTATAAGAGTCCAACGCAAGACAAATTCCTTCACTTATTGGAGCAAGGTGTAGGTGTAGTGTAGATATGGTGATATTATACTTTTTATTAGACTCAATAGACTTATATGAACATAGAAATAAATGGGTAGGCCAAGAAAAGCTAGGTGAAGAATCTTATTCAATTTCCGAACAGCTGTATTTCTAATACTCCATGCTCTACATCTGAAAATGTATGTCAGTCTTTGAACAATACCACAACTTCACAATGACGTGCTAAAACAGTTTGAGTAACTGTGGTGTTACAGGCTAGAGCTCAATCACTACTTATTTAGACCAATATGCAATTATTGACCTTACATAAGTGCACTAAAAAAGAAAAAATCATTAATGAATTAACTGCCATTATAGGATATCTTGAGCTTGACGAATGGTGCACACATGCCCCATTAAAATCTTTAGCATTCAGTCCTATATATATATATATGTAATATTTTAACACATATTAGTCTTCCTGAAAAAAGTATGTTGGTAGCAGCAGTATATAATAGTAGAGGTCGATTTACTAAAACTGGGGAGTGCAAAATGATGCAGCTCTGCTTAGAAATCAATCGGATCCTAGGATTTTTGTCAAAACTTAATTGAACAAGCTGAAGTTAGAAGCTGATTGGCTACCATGAACAGCAGCCAAAACAGTTGTTAAACTCTCCAGTATTAGTAAATGAACCCTTTAATAATATGACTTAGGGAAGGACGCAGTGTAGAAAAATATACTGAAAGAAGTTTTTTTCTTGCAGTGCTCTGATGTTTGCAAAGTAGCTGGATTCAGCACCAGGTGATTATAGTACTATTAAGTTCAACGTGAGACTGGTACTAATTGGCATCAATACTTAAAATACTAATACGGTAAGTCCAGCAGGCATAGTAAAAGTGAAGGTTAAGATTAGAATTAGATGTTAGGGGCCTAAAGTATATCTATCCTCACCTTGAAGAACAACCATTACATTTTAAAATAGGAATGAAAGGTAAAACATTTGTGTTTACAATTAAAAAAAAAGATAATTACCTTTTTTCCCATTTTTTATAAGTGACCACATACCCTCTATTCTCGGTTGCATAAAGAGCTCAGGGAAGAGAAACAGCAGCATTTTGATCTTTCCAGTGAATGGATATGCAGGGGGGACATGAGTACAAGTCTGACCGCTGGAGGAGAGCAGCTTACGTTCCCAGTACAGCCATAGAACTGTCCATAGTATGCTCTCATGCCTAGTGTGGTCAGCTTTTAATAGGAAATAGGGACTGGCAGGAACCAGGTATTTCACACAAAGGAAGCAATACAAAGAGAACAGGATACTTTTTCATACAAGTACATGGTGCAGCAGGCACATATCAGGAATATGAAATGTTGGGTTTACATATTTTTTCAGTGTTTAAGGGCTAGTGGTTAAATTTTCAGGGTTAGGTCAAGAAGCGTGAGAATAGTTGAATGTTAGGGTTAGATTATGTGGAGGTAACAAGTACCTGTGCTAGTATAAAATATATTGTTTTTCCATTTTGGATAGAGTAGAGAATAAGTAAACCACCTCTCAGTTTTGTGGGGTTTTTTTGCAAAAACAACTAAATATTTTGGTCAACAATAAATTTCAAAATAAGTGAGCGCTTAAAAACAACTAATATAAAATCACAAAATATAAAAGAAGAGAACAGCAGCTGAACACCAAAGGTACCATATGAACCTTCTCAATAGAAATGTATACAAGGGAGAGGTGCAGCGCTATCTATATGAAATATACTTATATACTTAAATATAAATATAAATATAAGTCAATAAAAGGTGCTATTATAGTGCAAATGGTGACTAAATGGTAAATTCAGTCCATAACGTGCTCAGAATCCCAAAAGAGTCCTTTAAGAGCTCCAGTCCCTGGATTCGTGGATAAGGTTCCGCCCTCCGGTGGAGAAGACTGGAGCACGCTGGTCCTGTGGCTGGTGAGAGTCCTTTACATCTGCAGAACGGCTTTTTCCTCTAAGTGTGGAGTACACTACCAGGTGGCGGAGGGCTTTCTATGACCAGACCTGACCAGATCCATATGAGGACCCTGGAATATCAGCTGTTAATGCGCATTTGAATTGCGCATTTGGTGAGTGCGCAATTCTTACTTTTATCACCTTATCCACGAATCCAGGGACTGGAGCTCTTAAAGGACTCTTTTGGGATTCTGAGCACGTTATGGACTGAATTTACCATTTAGTCACCATTTGCACTATAATAGCACCTTTTATTGACTTATATTTATATTTATATTTAAGTATATAAGTATATTCATATAGATAGCGCTGCACCTCTCCCTTGTATACACAACTAAATATTTTGGTTCTAACCCTTCACCATTCCTACGTAAATAAAAAAGTGTTGCATTTAGATTTTCTTTATGTGGTAGGGGTCAGGTATGTGCAATGGGTTAATCTCAGGGGTTAGGTTATACTTAAGGCTCCCCATACACTATACAATCTGATTGAATCTCCTTTTAGATCTGTATGGCATCTAAAGGGTTCAGCTAGCATGAAGATCAGAGTTAAGGTCAGCCTGAGAGTTCGGTTAAAGCGAGGGAACATGTTATATGGGACAGAGGGGGGGGGTTACCTTTTTCTATTGCAAAATCCTCATTCTGAGTACTACCAGAACCAGGACCAAATGTATTACTGTTTTGGTATAGTAAAAATGACTAATCACATATAAATGGTACTTCAATGAACACCACATTTGCCCCAACTGTGTGAATCTTTTTATGGCTAACTGGAAGATGAAGTTATTTATTAGTATACTCTCATAGCTTTACCACTTTAGAAAGAATACAATGAACTCATATTCCAGTAAAGGTGTGCTGCTAAGTATCTCAAAGGATGTACTATATTTATAATGATAAACAAGATATACCTGTGCTCAAATCCCAACAGCTAGTGCATGCATTTATCTATCAGGTGCTAAAGGGGTGTAACCACATATTAACACTAGAAATTCTGAAGGACCCTCTGCACACTGGTATATACCCTTCCAGCAGACTATGCAATAAATAGGGATATTTAGTTCACACATATTGCAATACATGCTTAAGCTGGCCAACTGTGTCAAAGTAATCCCTCTATGGCCAGTCCTACTCTGCCCTGCCTACGCAAATGCTACTGTGGACACAATGCTAGCATAGGGGAAAAGACACAATGGGGAGAGCTACAAGGCTCAGGTCTGGCTACTGACCCAACAATACAACAAACAAGAGATCCCTGTGCTCAAATCCCAACAGCTAGTGCATGCATTTATCCATCAGGTGCTAAAGACTTGAACCTTGTAGCTCTCCCCATTACCTGCAGCTGCCATTATCTCCACTACCACTCGTTACCAACCTTTGGCTATCCTTCCACTTGATCAGAACCTTCCACCACTTGTAGTCAACCTTTGGCTTTCTTTCGCTTGATCCCTACCTGCTATATCAGTTACTGGACCTGGCTTGCTCTTCTCCTGGTGGGGTGTTCCAGAGGACCACAGCCTTATATTAACAAGCAACAAAAACCAATCTCCACCCTACGGAGCTCTGATGAATACTGGTTAGTATTTAGGCCCTGCACTGCTAGTGAGCTCATGTAATCCGCCAGGGTGATCTCCTTGTGTACTTATCCAGCTGGTCAGTGGGACCCTCTCTACTACTATAGCTACTTGTCTCAAACCTGACCCCAGACTGTGACATTTGGCATACCATTCACACTGTACAAGACTTAAATATTTACTGCTGAGATTAAAACTGAAATTGAAAAATGGTTTTAGAAGAATAGACCCAAATAAGATTTTATCATACAAAGACGATTGCTGTTGAGGATATGGATAGATTTATACAATGAAAACTGGAAAGAAGAGAGGTTTTATGGATACATTTAAGGAGGGTTTAATGGGAAAATTTAGCCTTGCTTTTATTAAAGCTAAGAGCATTTCTTTGGAAATTTGGACCATTTTGTAAAGGTTATATAGCGGAATGTGAAACCAAAAGACCCTGTTTTCATTTTTAGGGTCCAGATTTAAAGATGGTCCCAAGTACAACTGATAAATAAACAGGAGTATGTAGAAATTTGAAAAGTTTTAACTGCCAGGAATGTAGAATATGTTGGAAAAAATAATACAATGAAAGTGTGCAAAATGTTTGATGGCCAGTGTGTGGTAATAAATATTATTAAAAGCAATAATTGCATGCAATACTGCATATTTGGTATATGTATCTATTTACAGTGCGAGCTACAAGATGTTGATATAAAGAGCCCGATATTGAGGGAGACAATTAGGGAGTACTTGGAAAACATAAAGAAAGTTTTGCTTACTAAGTGTTTCTGTTTTTGCTGAATTTCACAAATGTAATCTGAAAGGTCTTTTAGTTTATGGTATTGATTGTATCCCTCTACTGTAGAGAGTTTCTAATTGCAGACACAATGACCCTCTGCAGCCTAATAGGTTTGATTGATTTAACATTCATTTCTCAATTAATATTGTAAATGGTTCTAAACTATGAAACTATGTACCGTATTTTCCGGCGTATAAGACGACTGGGCGTATAAGACGGCCCCTACTTTTCCTGTTAAAATATAGTGTTTGGGCTATACTCGCCGTATAAGACTACCCCTCTTCCAACGCACACCAAATAAAAATTAAAAAAACATCAGATTTGATTTCAATATGGTATGGTATTTCAGTATGGTATTCCAATGATGGGGTGCTATTCCTCCCACTGACACCAATGATGGGGCACAATTCCTCGCTCTGACATCAATGATGGGGCACTATTCCTCCCACTGACACCAATGATGGTTGCCCCATCATTAGTGTCAGTGTGTGAGGAATAGTGTCCCATCATTATTGTCAGTGAGAAGAATTGTGCCCCTTCATTGGTGTCAGTGGGAGGAATCGTGCCCCTTCATTGGTGTCAGTGGGAGGAATAGTGTCCCAAACATTGGTGTCAGTGGGAGGAATAGTGCCCCATCATTGGTGTCAGAGCGAGGAATCGTGCCCCATCATTGGTGTCAGAGCGACGAATCGTGCCCCATCATTAGTGTCAGTGGGAGGAATAGCGCCCCATCATTGGTGTCAGTGGGAGGAATAGCGCCCCATCATTGGTGTCAGTGGGAGGAATAGCGCCCCATCATTGGTGTCATTGGGAGGAATAGTGCCCCATCATTGGTATCAGTGGGAGGAATAGTGGCCATCATTGGTATCAGTGGGGGGAATTGTGCCCCGTCATTGGTATCAGTGGGAGGAATAGTGCCCCGTCATTGGTGTCAGTGGGAGGAATAGTGTCCCAACATTGGTGTCAGTGGGAGGAATAGTACCCCATCATTGGTGTCAGTGGGGGGAAGGAATAGTGTTCCATCATTGGTGTCAGTGGGGGGTGGAATAGTGCCCCATCGTTGGTGTCAGTGGGGGGGGAGGAATAGTGCCCCATCGTTGGTGTCAGTGGGGGGGGAGGAATAGTGTCCCATCATTGGTGTCAGTGGGGGGGAGGAATAGTGCCCCATCGTTGGTGTCAGTGGGAGGAATAATGCCCCATCATTAATATCAATGACACCAATGATGGGGCACTATTTCTCCCACTGACACCAATTACACTTGCTGACCCCTGTTCCAGTATGGTGCTGCTGCAGCCAGCATATGTGGTTGCAGCAGCACCTCTGCACGGCACACTTACCGGCCACTCCCTCACTCAATTTTCACGGGGCCGCTCGGCTCCGCCTCCTCGCTGGTGATTTGCCGCCTGTGTGCCTTTCCTGAACTACAGTTCTGTCGGCCAATCACTGGTGAGGAGGCGGAGCCGAGCGGCCCCGCGCGCGAACATCCAGTGGCCGAACTGAATGAAGGAGCAGCCTCGCTTCCTGGACTGGATTGTCGTGGGACTGGGACCGGGGCCAAGTAAGAAACAGCAGCCCCTGCCCACCCTGTACTTAGTGTCCCTTCCGTTGGAAGGGGGGGCGGCGGCTGCACCGCGCCTCCCCCCCTAAAAAGTGCCGCCCTGACACCAAGTGTCAGTATGCTGTATACCGGCGTATAAGACGACCCCCAACTTTTGAGAAGATTTTCAAGGGTTAAAAAGTCATCTTATACGCCGGAAAATACGGTAATTGGAATGTATTATGTGCATTTAACTGTCTTTTAAAGCCTAAGTGCAGTCAAAATAAAAAAACTGAAAAATCAGCACAGGGGACATAACTTACAGTCAGCAGGATATTTCCATTGTGCTGATGTCTCCTCTGTTTGTTGAGATTGTACTCCTATGCCCCCCCTAACCCTACAGCCATAATCTTCCAGTGCAGCAGGGGTTAATAGAACTAAGGCACTGTCATGGGCTCTCACCAAGACAGCCCAACTATGCCCACCCTTTCTGTTTAGCTCATCCACTCCTGGATGTTGTACTACAGCTTCTTTGAATGAAACACGATCTATGAATAGAGGGATGGACCTATCAATCATCCCTTCATTCTCCATTCATAGATCGCTTTCTATTCATAGAAGCTTTAGTACGGCATCTTAAAATGGAGTAGCTGGGTGGAAAGGGAGAGCATAGTTGGGCTCCCGTGATGAGACCCTGTGACAGCTCCTCAGTTCTATTAACCCCTGCCACACCTGAAGTTTACAGGGACAGGGGTAGGGGGACATGGATGGATGAGGATTTCAACTAACAGAAGAAGCAGCAGAACAAGGGGCACATCCTACGTTCTGTAATTAATGTCCTTTGTGCTGATTTTTTCAGTTCATTGCTGGTCAGTAGGAAAAATGCCTCTTTACAATATTGGTCAGCATGCCTCCCTTACAGACAGCTGAAAAGACCATTGGAGTCAAGCAGCTGTGGTAGTGTTGACTCCGGAATCATGCAGGCACCTTTAGATGGGAGCTCATTCATCCACAGCTCTTGGAATCCCTAGCAACCTCTGGACAAACCTTAGGATTTCAATAAACCATATCATGTATATGTTTAGGTCATGGACCAACCCTTGGAGAAGTCATTTGCAATGAAACAAATGGAGTGGAGAAAAAATTTGAAACAAGTTTGATTGTAGATGGTTTACAGCATCTTCTACTGCCTAGATTACCCAAGCTGTTTGAATACAGCATAGCAATATTGATTGGTGTTTTACAGTATGATGCAACAAAGATAATCTGGTCCAGCTGAAATGTCTTAGAAAGGTTTTTTCTCTCTACATATGTAATAGCTCATGCTTGTCTAGCCAGACGTTTTAAGATTATTTTGGTGGCAACAATGGATTATTCTGTTGTCTCAGTGCAGGTAACCTAGAGACTATGATATTCAAGTTTGCAGCTTTCAACAGTAAGAACAGTTTCTGGACTTTCAATGAACTCTTCTACAAATATCATATTAATTATATTAGAATGTACCAATATGTTTCATTTTTATCATAAAGTAATTATGACAGTAATTATGAAGATTTCTTCACAATTAGAGATGTGAAAATGTGGAATTGACTCCCTCAAGAGTTGGTTCTAGCCAGCTGAGTGGATTGCTTTCAAAAAGGCCTGGATTCTTTCCTAGATACAAACAATATAACTGAATACGAACATTTGTAGGTAAAGTTTATCCAGGGAATATCCGATTGCCTCTCAGGGGATCAGGAATGAATTTTTTCCCCTGCAGGAGCAAATTGGAGCATGCTTTGCTGGGGTTTTTTTGCCTTCCTCTGGATCAATGGTGGATGGACTTTTGTCTTTTTTCAGCTGGACTAACTATGTATGTAACTGTGTAACTATGACAGATGACACTCATACCAGATTCACTGGAATATGGTGACAATTCCTGCAATCTGTCTGACTCCAATCATTTGGAATTATGTAAACATAGAACATGTTTTGGCATGTATTTTTTATTTACAAAATCACAAGATAGCACAGCATATCATGGTTAACGCTCACTAATTGGTTGCTAGAGATTACTGCACATCCTTACCACTCACAGTTTGGTTGCTAGAGGTTACTGCACATCATTACCGCTCACTGATTGGTTGCTAGAGGTTACTGCACATCACTACTGCTAACTGCCTGGTTTCTAGAGGTTACTGCATATACTAAGCAGAGGATAACAAAATGTAAAGTGAAGGCAGCATATCAGCTCACCAAAGAGTTAAACTAACAAATGATCTTTTTTTCTAATAACAGTTTGCACTCACTTTTTCTCCATGGTGACACCTAAGCCTGACATAAGGCCATGGGGTCTTCTCCAGCACCTCCCTCTTGGTCAGCTGACCTGTTGTTTCAGCCCCCTGGCCCCGAAGACTGAATGGTCGGCAGCAGAAAGGATTCAAGGAGCAGCCCAGCTGCCGCAGCTGCTTTGTGAGCCCCAAGGACAGGCGGCCCAGCGGCTGAACTAAATGGGCCATGGAGAGGCTGGGTGAGCGGCATGGGCTACAGGAGCAGTCCAGCTGCTGCAGCTGCTTTTAGAGCCTCAAGGATATGTGGCATTGCAGATGTCCCGGTCCACCAGGCAAATGCCTGGTGTGCCCTATGGCCAGTCTGGGCCTACATTGCATCATTTGTCCATAACAGTTCAATTGTATCTCTGTGATGATGTCTGGTATTTGCAACAAAACCTCTAGTAAGTTAATACCCAGCATTTGATGCTTTTCTTCCATTATACTGAATTAATCAAACTTTCACACAAGAATAAATAACTTTAGCCATGCAACTATAATTTTCAAATCACTTTGGACTTAGCTGAAAATAACTGTCTCTTTTTAAAGATCCTTATCATGGCGTTTTTAGATTTGTGAATTGATTCTAAAGTGTGTAAAATATGTAAAAAAAAATGAGAAATGCATGAAAAAGTAACAAAAAAATGTGATATTGCCTAAAGGAAAAATGTACAAAATCCTATGTGGCATTTGTTCTTGGCTTGAGGAGAAGATGGTACAGTTGGAGCTGATGTTATTAGGCCAATATCCTGAAGGTCTGGAATCATTCCACACATTTAGAAGGTTTTTTCAAGGAAGCATAAAGATGTGATGATTCCTGTTCAGACAATCGCCAAGCACATACTATACATTTGGCCAAAGACTGGTATGTGTTAAATATACTCAGTTAGACAATCACAGATTAAACAATTGTTGCAAAGAGGAAAAGAGAGCCAAATGGTAAAAGTATTAACATCAGATTTTGGAGAAGTTCCTAATCTCAAGGAGGAACTTCGCCCGAACTGTCCTAAATAGAATTTAAAATTCCTAACACTTGTTCCTGTTTGAAAACAAAAATATATACTTAATAGTACCTGGAGTCTAACATTGTCCTTTTAAAAGTAAAATTCACCTTGTTCTGCTCTGTTCCCTAGCCACCATCTTGAAACGAGACCTGGCAGAGAGCCAAAGTATATTACAAATACGCCGGCTTTCCCTGCAGCATATGTGCAGACATGCATTGAGGCTCTGCCTCCTTACTGTAACCAGTAAAGTCCGCTTAAAAGGAACACAGATAGCAATTAAAACATGACAGAGGGTCTAACCTCGCACAAACTCTAACCAAAACTGAAAATAGTATGTCTTTTTTTTGTTTACACTCTAAAGCAGGTGTAGGCAACCCTTTGAGCATAGTGTACTGAAAATGTTTTCAAAGTATTTCAAGAGTGTCAGCTGCATAAAATAAAATGTCAACTTCACACTCAGTCACTGAACGTTTATAAAATAAATGCTGTAAATGACATGAATAGTAATAAGAAATTCTGCATCTTCACACCTCTGATCAGCCCCAGTTCCTGCACCATTCACACATCAGATCACTCCAATTCCTGCAGCTTCACATTACAGGTAAGTACCAATTTCTGCACCATCAGACCTCAGAGTAGTCCATTCCTGCACCGTTTTATACCTAATATCAGTCCCAATTCCTGTATCTTTAAAATTAGTAACTCCACAAGCTGGTTAATTTCTGGTCCAAAATAATTGCCTGGGGCATCCAACTCAATACACAGGGCCAGGTCTAGCCTGCAGTGCAAAATATCAGAGTGTGGAAGAGAATGAGCAGGTCAGCAGGGCAGAGAATAGGGTCAGCAAGTTTGTAGGGAAATGTACAAACACCATTAGTTTGTAGGGTAGTATACAGGAGTAAGCAGGGCAGAGAATGGGGGAGGTCAGCAAAAAAATGTACAGGGGGCCAACAGGGCAGTGTACAGGGGGGAAATTTCATATTTCCTTATTATTATTATTGGGGCTCACCAATATCTTAGAATATAAATCGTAAGCCTGATTACCTTAGCTGACTTCATACTATAGGAATGTAATTACAAAATAACCAAATGACCAAGCGCCTTTCAGGAATGTGTGCTGCATATCTTTCTTTAAAAAGGTAATTTCACTTTACAAGGGTTTATAATTGGTCCATATGCAGTGTGATTTTACCTACAATTGTTTGTGTGACCTCTCTTTTCACATCTCGAAAAACCCCCAAAGACTGAAACTGTATACGTAACCGTGATAACAACAAGGGGTCAGGAGGGTGAAGGACAGGGGGTCAAGCAGGTTGGAGGACGGGGGCCAGCAGGCCAATGTCAGCAGGGCAGAGGATGGGGTCAGCAGGGTGGAGGTCAGGGTCAGCATGGCTAGTGTAATGAGGGGTCCGCAGGACATCATAGGACAGGGGACA